AATTTATCATCTTTATATTACAAGCGATAATTGAGTAAATGAAGTTAGTTTGCCATGAATATATCACGTGTGTGAATGATATAAATGAATTTTATGTATTAAATATGTGAGTATAATGTTTAAAACAAATGTGAATTAAAAGAAGTTAATTATGAGTATTGTGTTTAAAAAATGTGAATTGATGTAACATCATAAAATGATAAAAATAAATTTTGTTAATGTATTCTTTTCAAAACATTTTATATATTTATACAGAAATAATAAACACGACTAGTTCTATTAATAGGAATGAGTTTAGTATGTGTGAATTATTAAAATGAGTTTTTTGTTATAAATTACTTTTTGTAATTAAACTGTTATTTTTTTGTTGCTAAAGCCACTAATAATTTAGTAAATAAATCTAATCTAATGAATATACGTAGTATTACATTTCTGGATTATAGATATGAGTTTTATGTTATTTTCAATGAGTATTGTGTTTAAAACAAATGAGTTTACAAAATGAGCACACCAAAGGGTTTAAATGAGCATACAATAATGAACATATATATTCACATTTTTTTTTTCAAATCTTATTTCTTAAGTAGTTATGCTCATTCGGTACATGTATTATGCTCATTTCAAAATATCATACCAATGCACATTTAAAAGTATCATATTCTTATTTTCTAGATAGTTGTGTTCATTTTAAAATGCTATATCAAAACACATTGTTTTATATGTTTTTACGACATACTCATGAAATATTTTTTGTGATCATTTTATCAATGGTCATTTGTTTTAAACATTACAATGATTTAAATATAGCATAAAACTCATTTCCATGCACAATCCATAGATCTAGTTATATTCATCAATAACCAACTTAGTGTCATAAGCTATGTTTGACACAACGAGCTGGAACTGGAAGCTAAAGTATGAATTAGAGAATATTGTCTGTATCAGAGACTATTGTCTAGAACTGAACTTTAAATGTTGAATCTCAATCGCTAGCTGAATGAAGTAGATCTGTTCGACAAAAAGAGCTAAAAAGTGATGGGATAATATGAAATTACATCAAGGGACATATAATTTATTAATAGAATAAAATATGTATTATAATGTTTTTTATATTTTCAGCCTTTTAATATATGTATGTGTGTCTATGTATATATAATATTTGTGAAATTATACATGTATATATAATAACTGAGGATGTTTTTACTTGGACTGTAATTTGCTGGTCTGTTTAAGTCTAGTCTGGTTAAGTCTGGTTTGGTCTGGTTAATGTCTGGTTTCTGTGTATTTTATAACTACACAAGTCAGGTCAGGTCTGGTCTGTTTAAGAATCGTCTGGTCTGATTTGATCTGATCTATTTAAGTCTGGTCTACTCTGATCTGGGACTGAAAAGAGTCCAACTAAAAACATCCTGAATTGAGCATATTACTGCAATTCACCTTACTACGCACCCATATCTCTAAGCCTCAGGGCATTATATTACATCCTCATAATGTTTTTGCCGTTTTTCGAAACTTTCGGCCTTTGATACCTAGAATGTCTTCACGTTGAGGACTATGTTCATAGCCAAGCATCTGACTGATAAATATTTTTTGATTTTTTCGCACAACACGTCGAAGAAAAAACAGAGTGAGCAAACAATGGGAGTTGATAACTTGGATATTGGGAGAAAATATGAGTTTTATGAGCAGAGAATAGGTCGGAAGTGAAAATAGAAGGAAATTGGGAGAAAATATGAGTTTTATGAGCAGAGAATAGGTCGGAAGTGAAAATAGACACCTTCGAAGCTCTGCTCTTGCGATTGATTGAGAAGAAATCCTACCAGGAAGATTGACCAAAGATGAAGGAGGGATATGATGAGAAAGGGAAGTCTGAAAACAAGGAACAAAATATAAACGGATGGCTGAACGTTTGAGTTCAGCTCATTTATTTTAGTTCCGGTCTCCTTAAGCCTTTCAAACAAACAGAGCTACTTTAATATAAATTGACTTAACTTAATAAATTCCAGCCCTTTTTTGGCTGAAGTGGCGTGCCGAACACATCCTTAGTATAGTTACTGATAGTATAGAATTATGTTTGTTTATGTGTGTAATTTTAACTAGTTTTGTTTGTTGTTAATTGGGAAATTACACACTTTAGGTGTAATGCTTTATTTTTCCTAATTGTTTGCAATTTGTTTAGATTAGGGATTTTCTGAGTTTAAATTAGGTAAAGATCATCAAAAGGATCCTGGGAAGGTCAAGGAAAGTGCAAGGGAACAAGAAAAAATGAAAATTTGGGAAAATAGTCAAAAACCCGGTCGAGTAAAGCAAAAACCCGATCGAGTTTGAATTGTCTCGAAGATCAAATCTGACCTGGAGGCGATTAAACGTGCAGGGTGAAGATTTGGCAAAGATTTGTCTTTTACCCGATCGGGTAAATCAAAAATCCGATCGGATAGATGTGACTAATGAAGATTCCGGGCAATTACTCAGGAAACCTGATCGGGTAAATCAAAAACCCGGTCGGGTAAATGACCCTGCCACCTCCAAACACCTATAAATACACCTACCCCATTTCCCTCCCATTTAAACACCAATTCACATATACCTTTGAGCTCAGTTTAAAATAGAATTTCTTTATATTTTTCTAGCATGTTTAGTCTCCAAATGAGGAGCTAAACTTCCATTTCTTGGTTTTGCTCCTGAAGCTTGTTGAATGTTAAAGTTGTGAGTTGAATTAATATTCTTCCCTTATTCTATCTCTATATTAATGTTGGGGAGTGTTGCTAAGATGACAATTAGTTAACATCTTGACATTAATTACTACTAGAAACGATCAATGAACCGATGGTTAATCATTGATGGTTTCACAAGTAAGTAACTTCGGTTTATTAATGCACGATCGTGGTTAATAAACTTAAGAGGTGTTAATTTTGTTGGTTAAACCGAAACCGTTGTGTTGAGGTTATCAATCTCAATTGATTTCATCAAAGAGTTAAGAGATTAAAAGCTACTATCAAGTCGGTATATGGCGGTGTTATATACTTGGCTAATAGTAAGGGTTATTAATGAACGATCGTTGTTAATAACTACCCTTGATGAACTGGAGATACTCCTCGATTGAGTATTCGAGAGGGGATAAGTTATAGATATAACCGGGATCAACAAACATATCAACAAGTGGAAAGTAGCAAAGACAAGTCTTTTATCTAATTAATTAAACCACATAAGTCGTTCGTCTTTGTCTTTATTTAATTAAATCAAATCAACCTTAAAACCCCCTTTTAATTACTAGTTTCATAATAGAAAAGTATTCCTTTCCATGTGGATACGAACTCTACTACACTATACTACGTATAAGTGTTAAGTATTGAATTTATTTTGACGCACTACGACAAAGTGCTCGTCAGTTACATTCATTTGTTAAACTATCAGTAGATTTAGTCATGAGAAGTATACCAATTTTTTAAATCTTTATTCTAGAATTACAAACTTTGTTATGTTTATTTTATAAGGTTACACATATGCACATTTACTTTACACATTATACTCATTTTGGTGTAACAAAATACTCATTCTCATATTACACGCGTAATAACTAAACACATTAGACTTTAAATTAATAAAATTATCTCTGTTTACTTATTTTTTTTTATAAAAAATTAACTCATTGAAAAAGTATATCTCAATCATTTTAATTGCATGTTCTTTAAACATAAAAAAGTTGTTAAAATTTTAGAAGTAGAATAAGCAAAAACATCTAAAATTTGTTAAATTTTTTTAAGTAGAATAAAGCTACAAAATAATAAGAACTATTTTGAAATAATCATTAATCATGTATATCTCAATATATTTTATATAAGTACAACAAGTCGTAAAATATTCGATCACAAAATAAATTAGCATTCACTTGGTCATTTTTTCGAACGGTTGGTATGAATTCATATTATGAATAAATTTAGACAATTGAAGCATTGATAAAGATAGAGGAAAATAAATGTTTGAAATCATACTGTATGTCATTTAAGATTTTCGGAACGAACCGGATTTAATTTTAGAATCACCATATTACTCATACTACCTTCGTTCCATAAAACTTTGCCAACTTTGATCGGTACAGGTATTAATAAAGTAAAAACCGTGTGGTTGAGGTTTTTGCAGAAGAAACAGAATTGGCTGAAACCACAAATTCTTTACTTAAAAAGGGTAAGTGACAAAGTTAGTGGGACATCCAAAAAATGAAAGTTGGTAAAATTTTAAGAGGCATAGGGAGTATAATTTAAGAATTATCGATATAAAAGAAGAAATAAGAAAGAAATTGGAAAGTAGGCCCGGAAAAGATTGGAAGATGCATAAGATAAGACAATAGTTAACAAGGAGTTATTGGGGCAGATTAGAGATATTAAAGAGGTTAAAGGAAAGAATTATTTTTACTTTTTATCCTACGAATTTATGTCAAATCCACATGTAATCAACGTCTTTCACCGTGTCTATTTTTGACACCCGATAAATGTTTTTTGACCATTTGTGGCCTTTTTCGGTGATTTTAATTTCCGAAAACATTGACGGAAGGACCATATATGAGCAAAAATATAATTATCATGTACAAAAATGATCAAAGTCAAAGACATAAACTAATCGTTAAATTGGTGTGATACGGAGTGAAATATAATTACACTACGAGTGAAAGTTCTTTTCTTCGAGAAAATTAAACGTTAATACGGAGTAGTTGTAAGACTGGTGTATGATATTCCCTCCGTTCCTAAATAAACTTCCAACTTTCCTTTTTCGTCCGTTCCGATTAAAACTTCCATTTTCCCTTTTTGGTAAAAAATTTGTGGTTCACAACATTTCTTACACATTTCTCTCTCCTCTGCACATCTCTCCACCACACAATATCCACTATCTTAAACTTTGTGCCAAACCCATTAGGAAGTTAAAATGGGAACGGAGGTAGTACTCCCTATATAAAGTTGATTTTCCTAGATTAGCATGTTAGTAGTGGTAAAAGACTGGTGGTGGCATGATTAGACGATGAAGCTTCACGTGGTAGTAGACTGTACACAAAGATAATTACCGTTCCAATGATTTATATATCCAAAGGTTAGCGCGGGGATTAGTACATATACCGACGCGGAGCCCCACAGTAACCACCCAGCCTTAATGAAACCCGCGTCTTTGACCACTCGTCGAGTCGGCGCAACCCCTTTCCTTCCCATCCTCGTCTGTCACTCCTCCCCCATGTCCGATCTGTCTTCCATGGAGCTTACCTCTGCCAAGAAGGCAACTTTCTTGAACAGTCCTAAGATAATTCCACTCCTCGCCCTTCTTTTAATCTTTCTCACCGTCTGCCCATTGTACTACCCTATCCGTTGCAAAGATCACCCGGAGGAGTTGCCGGAGAAGTCGGTAGAGGGGACAAGGTCCCGTCTTCCCACGCCGGACGATCAGCAAAAAGGGCAAATTTTTCCTCAGAAGCAAGAAGCGGAGAACCTAAGTGCTCCAGCTCTCGCAACTCTTCATCTTTCCCCTCCCCAAGATCTGCCCATAGCGTCTGGAGCGGAAAAGGGTGTGGAACTTCAACTTCATCCAGCAAATCCGGATGCGAAAAACGCCAGCAGAGAGAGCTTCAAGAAATGTGACATCTTTACTGGAGAATGGGTTCCTAATCCTGATGCGCCTTATTACACGAATAATACTTGTTTTAGCATCCAAGAACATCAGAACTGTATGAAATTTGGTAGGCCTGATGATGGGTACTTGAAATGGAGGTGGAAGCCTGACGGATGTGAGTTGCCAATTTTTGACCCTCATGAATTCTTGGAGCTTGTAAGAGGCAAATCTTTAGCTTTTGTTGGAGATTCCATTGCAAGAAATCATATGCAGTCACTTGTTTGCCTCCTATCAAGGGTAAGTCTCTCTCTCTCTCGCTCTATCCAATTGATACCTTGAGTTTTTACTTCCTTTTTTTTTACTTTACTCTCAATTACTTGAAATTCTGCTATTTGTTGTGGCAATTATGAATCTGATTTATGTTGATAATGCCCGTTTTGGTAACCATTTTGGCTTATCAACCTTGTTTGAGAGTTTCTTTTCAAAACATTAACTTTTTATGGCTGATTCAGCTTAATGCGTAATTTACCATTGCTTTTACTACATTTGGTTTGAGTAAAAAGAACACCGTGTACCCAACATAACCATAATTGATATAGATGGTAAAGAGACATTGAATTACTAGGTTAATTTCACAATCACATTCACTCAGAAATGAAATACAAGATTAACCTACTATGCTGAGTTTGTCGCTAGATCTATGGATATTAAGAAAGATTTAATTTTTAGCAATATTATGAATATTTAGTTTTAAAATGGTTTTTTGTATAAGTTCATTTATTTGGAAAGAAAGGGACAGCCTGTTCATAGCTGTGAACTGAGTGGGACAGGATTTGTACCTGTAAACGGAGTGGATTCTAGTAGGAATGCAAACAAAATGATATGCTCCAATATAGTATTAATACTTCTAATAATTGAGGTGTTATCTAGTATGATGTGAAGCTCAATATTCTAATACGGAGTATGAGTTTTCTTACCTGATGACATAGACATAGTACACTACATTTTACTCTCTTGCTTTCTCAGTCCAACAATTCTGTTTTGTGCTCATTAAAAATAAGATTACCCATAAACATAGTAGCAGATGGTTGTAGACCTTGTTGTAAAATCCCTCCCCGCCTTCGTACAAATCTCCAGACCTACTAAATCAAAGGCTCCCCTTTTTCTTGAATATATCGTTGATGAATATGCTTCTAGTAATGCTTGTAGGAGTAGTTTTTTATTTAGAAGGTTTATTATCCATAGAAAGGAACTGTTTGCGCTTCGTTGGTATGAAGTAACAGTCACTCTATGCAATTTTCGACGCGATTTTCACTTGGGTCATTCGGAAATAGTCTCTTTGTGCTTTTAGTACAAGGGTAAGACTGCGTACATACGACCCCCCTACCCCACCGTAGGTGGGAGCCTTTGCTGCACTGGGGTAATGATGATGATTATCCATAGAAAGGAAGTATTTTACAGTTTTGGTGCTTTATTGTATAAAAGGCAATGCTAATACTATATCATTTTGTATGTACTTATTTATATAAGGCCTAGTTTTTGTAAATAGCACCCAGATTTCCTTGGCATTTAAAACAGCCCTGCTAGGTGTCATGTGGTGTCCAAGTCTTTTTCCTTTTTGGCCTATCTGTAAAATGTTGATTTGTTTTTTTTAATTGATTTGTTTTTTTTTTCATTTGAGGATGTGTTACCTATGTTTGTGTTTAATTTAAGTATTTAGTCCTTTTTGCACACACATTGTTGAACCATCCCACATAGGCAAGTATAAAAAACTAACTCATAAGGCTCTCTACTACCCTCTTATGAGACTTGAATTGATAGATTCCCAAGTCCTTAATATGTATACCTGTCAATACAAACAACGTTTGCCATTTTGAATGTGCTGAAGAAATCTGAAAAATCGTGTTAAGATGAAGTTGAAATGTATGATCCAAAACCTTATAATTACCATAATTTTAGAGAGACATGCTAGCAGATTTCCCACACGGTTCATTGCAATGTCTAATTGGTTCAAGCGCACATTTCATAAATATATGTATCAACATATTCCAATTATTTTTTGTCAAAATTTCCAGGTTGCTTATCCAATGGACATTTCAAATACAACAGATGATAACCGGAAGCGTCTGGTATACAAAGATTACAACTTCAACATATCTATGTTTTGGGCACCATATTTGGTCAAAACTGGCATCACTTTCAATGAGAATAACATTAACCCATTCAATCTATATCTAGATGAATTTGATGAATCCTGGACAACAAAGATTGGAGCTTTTGACTTTGTAATTATTAATGCTGGCCACTGGTTTTTCCGTCCTACAAACTTTTATATAGACCGTCACCTCGTTGGCTGCCTCTATTGCCGAGAAACCAATGTAACCCACATGGCGAAAGACTTCAGCTATAGATGGGCTCTAAGAACGGCATTTCGAGCAATCAATAGTTTGGAAAATTTCAAGGGAGTCGCATTCTTGAGGTCATTTGTCCCACAACACTTCGAACATGGTAATTTCGACCAAGGCGGAGAATGTGTGAGGACGGAGCCATTTCAGCGGAATGATACCATCTTGAACAAAATCGAGATAGACATGTATGATATTCAAAGGCAAGAGTTTAGAATTGCAAAGGATGAAGGGACGAAAAAAGGGGTGAAATATAGATTGTTTGACGTAACACATGCGATGAGGTTGAGACCAGACGGGCATCCTAATAAATACGGTCACTGGCAGAATCCGAATGTCACCATGTTTAATGACTGTGTGCATTGGTGTTTGCCTGGGCCGATAGATTCGTGGAGTGATATCTTCATGGAGTTGTTGAAGAGGGAGGTTGAAGGTCATGAGGAGTAATGGGATGCCACAAATTTGACTGGCAAACAACCCTCACTGGCCGTGCTTAATGCTTCCTGAGGCGCTGAAGTTTTACTCGAGTTAAATGGACCAATGTAATATGTGCAATCTCAAATAGTTTGGGCATACCTGTAAAGCAGGCTGTAACATGTAACAATATGTTTGTGGATTCGAAATTTATATTGTGCCTCCTTAAATAAATAGCATACGGGTACCACAGAAATTTTAAGCCAATCCAATTATGACGATAACATCCTCGTTATAGTGGTATTAGAAGTTCTATTATTTGCATTTTAAGGATGTTTTTACTTGAACTGAAATTTTTTGGTCTGATCTTGTTTTATCTGGTCTGATCAGGTCTGCTCAGGGACTGAAAGCAATACAAGTAAAAACATCCTAATACATGCTAATACAAAAATGCTAGGTCTACCTCATTTTGTGTACCCATTCGCACACTGTCTGTCTATGCAGCCAGAGTTGTTTGTATACAGACAACACTGTTTGGAATTACAAAGTTGTCTGTATACAAACAACTTTGTCTGTGTACCCCTAGCATTTCTCATGAAAATAAGCATGTAAATTTCAAATATGAAGAAAGCTTTGCAATAAGGAATAAGGATGTAATGGGAACTGCCCACTCCACAAGTGCACCACCCTCTTTTTTCTAGACCATTACTGGCTCTATGTTGGACTCGGTTCGGGCCACCCGGCCTGACCCGGTTCTTCGGGCCCAAAATCGGTCTAAGGCCCGGTTATTTAGGCTGAGCGGGGCGGGCTCGGGTTGGTAAAAAGGAGGCCCGGCTCGGTGATGCACACTAATTAGTAGTGCATAATTACATGTTTTTATGTTTGATTTATGTTAATTGTTTGACGTTTTATTTAGTTTGTAAACATTTATGTGATTTCAGTTGTAATTGTATTTTAGTCTTTTTTTTGTAAGTTGTAAAGTTTAGTTAGGATTTGTGGTGTTGGAAAGGAAGACTTTGAAGTGAAGAAAAAGAAGATTTGGCTGCCCAGGAGGAAATACCCGTCCGGGAATAAACCCTTACCCGGTCGGGTAAGAAGTGAAAAACGAAAATGCAAAAAAAGTGCATGACCCGGTCGGGCCCACTACCTCACCCGGTCGGGTGAGACCGTGAGAAGTGACCGGGGACAACCCGGTGTGCAAAGATCACCCGAACGTGTAGAAAATCCAATTTTTGCACTCACCCGGTCGGGTCCCTTACTTGACCCGGTCGGGTCTGACTTGACCCGGACACTTTAACATGCCAAAGATCACCAGAACGTGGGGAAATATCTGATTTTGACCGGACCCGGTCGGGTGAGTACTTGACTCGGTCGGGTACCCGACCAAAGGTGTTGAAAAACACCTATAAATATCACACTTTTTCTTCACAAAAGATCATCCCTTCTTCCATTCTCTTTAGCTCAGTTTAGAATATCATTTCTTTATATTTTTCTAGCTATGTTTAGCCTCCAAATGAGGAGCTAAACTTCCATTCTTGGTGTTGCTCTTGAAGCTTGTTGATTATTAAAGTTGTGAGTTATTTTCTTAAACTTCTTTCCTTGAATATTAATTAATAGTTCTTTCCTTAATACCATCTCTATATTAATGTTGAGAAGTGTTGCTAAGATGACAATTAGTTAACATCTCGACATTAGTTAGAATGGTATTTTCTTCCTCTATATTAATATTGAGGAGTGTTGCTAAGATGACAATTAGTTAACATCTTGATATTAATTAGAGTAGGATTCATCTTCATTAATAATATTCTTCCTTGAATATTAATTAATTCCTACTCTTATTTCATATTAATATTTTGAACATTACTTAAAGGATCAACTAGTTTTGTTTCATATATTAATTATTACTAGAAACGATCAACGAACCGATGGTTAATCGTTGATGGTTTCACAAGTAAGTAACTTCGGTTTATTAATGCACGGTCGTGGTTAATAAACTTAAGAGGGATTAATTTTGTTGGTTAAACCAAAACGCTTGTGTTGAGGTTATCAATCTCAATTGATTTCATCAAGGAGTTAGAAAGATTAAATGCTACTATTAAATCGGTATAAGGCGTTGTTCTATATTTGATTAATAGTAAGGGTTATTAATGAACGGTCGTTGTTAATAACTATCCTCGATGAAGTGGATATACTCCTCGATTGAGTATTCGAGAGGGAATAAGTTATAGTGATAGAGTATATCTAGAGAGAAGTGAGAGCTAGAGAGAGAAGTGCAGTAATATGCTTCAATAGAATGAATTTGTAACCCCTATAACTACTCCCAAGGGGAGTATTTATAGAGAAAATTAGGGTTGGGCTCCCAAGTCTTGGGCTTGGGAGGCCCATTTACAATTGGACCGCTACTGGGCCGAATACAAAGCCACTAATGGGCTGTATAAATGAATAAGTATAAAATCCGATTCTGTGAGGTCTTCGTGGCCGACGAGGGCGTGGCCGACGAGGGCACGGCCGACGAGGGCGCGGCCGACGAGGGCACCCGGGCTCCTTGGGCTCAGGACCATAATCCGAGTTGGCCCCTTTTCGGCCGACGGGGGCGTCTTGGCCGACGAGGGCGCCACTCTGTCTTGTGCTTTCTATTCTTCCGAGTATGTGGGTCCGGGGGCTCAGACCCATATACTCCATCATATAGATATAACAATGATCGATTAAAATATATCAACAAGTGGAAAGTAGCAATGCCAAGTCCTTTTTATCTTTGAATTAAACACATATAGGTTGTTCATCTTAGTTCTTAATTAAATTAAATCACTCAATCCAAATCCCCCCTTTTTATTTACTAAGTATCATAAAAAGAGAATTATTCCTTTCCTTGTGGATACGAACTCTACTACGCTATACTACGTATAAGTGTTAGTATTGAAAATTATTTTGACGCACCGTGACAAAGTGCTCGTCAAATTTGGCGCCGTTGCCGGGGAAAGACAATTATTTTTCTTTCTATTTTATTTCAAAGAAAAATAAAAAAAAAAATTATATATAAAGATTTCTATTTTGGCTGAGCTTTGTTTGAGTATATGGTTAAACACCGATCTATAAACCAAATCACCTACCAAACAAAGCCTTCAAGAGGTTCAGGAATCTATTTCCGAATACTTCTTCGGAGGAATCATCAAGTGCTAGTTCTCATTCTAGCGAATCCGAAGAGTCCTTTCACATGGCTCTTGAAACAAGAACGTTGAGGGAGCTAACGGCTCCGAATCTAAATCAACAACCCTTATGTATCACTTTTCCAACTCTTGATACGGGGGTCACATTCGAGCTAAAATCTGGGCTCATTCATCTACTTCCCTCTTTCCATGGCTTACGAGGGGAAGATCCAAATAAACACCTGTCAGAGTTCCATATTGTGTGCACAAGCATGTGCCCTAATGGCGTGTCCGAGGAGCAAATCAAGCTGAGAGCCTTCCCATTCTCTCTCAAAGACACCGCCAAAGATTGGTTATTTTATCTTCCCTCGGGGAGCATCAATACATGGGCTCAAATGAAGAAGAGCTTCCTTGACAGGTACTATCCCGCATCTATCTCTTCAAGTCTCAAGAAGCAAATCAGCAACATTGAGCAAGCAGATAATGAGACCTTGTATGAATATTGGGAGCGCTTTAAAAAATTATGTGCTAGTTGCCCATATCATGGATATTCAGAACAAGATCTCATCCTCTACTTCTATGATGGACTTGTTGATCAAGATAGACGCATGGTGAATGCGGCATGCGGAGGGGGTATTGTTAACAAAACCCCTTCTCAAGCAAGAGACCTCATTTCGGAGTTGGCCGAAAACTCGAGACATTACGACGGAAGGTCATCATCAAAACGAGTCATGGCAGCGGAATCCAACAACTCGTTGGAGAGTCAAGTAGCCGGCTTGACTTCTTTGGTCAAAGATTTTCTTTTAAATCCAAAAACCCAAGAAGTCAAGGTCTGCGGCATCTGTTCAACGCAAGGGCATCCCACAGATTCTTGCCCGACACTACAAGAAGAGAACTCTGAGCAAGTCAATGCTTTGGGGTTCCAAGGTCAAAGGAGGTACGATCCTCAAGGAAACACTTACAACCCGGGATGGAGGGATCATCCGAATTTAAGGTACGGAAATTCTCAAACAAATCCTCCCCCTCAACAATACAAACCCCAAGGCCAAACATCGAACTCGAGTATGTCCACCGAAGACATGATTCGAGCGCTGGCCGTTAATATGGGAACAATGCAACAAAGCATGGGGCAATTCCAACAAACAATGATGCAATTCCAACATGAAACCAAGTCGAGCATTCAAAATTTGGAAACTCAAGTTAGCCAAATTTCAAATGTCGTAAGTCGACTTGAAGCAAACGATTCGGGTAAGCTCCCCTCCCAAACTGAGCAAAACCCGAGACAACATGTCAATGCAATCATGTTGAGGAACGGTAAAAAATTGCAACCACGGGAAGTTGAGGAGGAGAAGCAAGAGGTTGATATTGAAGAAGGCTTCCAACAAGAAGAGGAGAAGCCAACGAAGACTAAATTCCCTCCACTGTCATCATATGAACCACTCCCTCCATTCCCTGAGGCATTGAAAGACACGAGGAAGCTGAAGAATGATCGGGACATCTACGAAACATTCGTCAATTCTGAGGTAAACATCCCACTCTTCAAACTGATCAAAAGTGTTCCCCGTTATGCAAAGTTCTTAAAGGAACTATGCACAATGAAAAAGAAAAATAAACTGGAAGGGAAACAAAAAGTTGAAGTGAGTGAACGTGTCTCGGCCATTTTTAAAAAGAAACTTCCCGAGAAATGTAGCGATCCAGGCATGTTCACTATTCCTTGCAAAATAGGGGATACCTTATTTTCTAAGGCCTTGTTGGATTTAGGAGCGTCAATAAATGTCATTCCTTATTCCTTATATAAATCCTTACAACTCGGTCCACTACATCAAACTGGTGTAGTGATTCAACTAGCGGATCGGTCTAATACTTACCCGAAGGGTGTAGTAGAAGATGTGCTAGTAGAGGTAGAAAATTTGATTTTCCCCGTTGATTTTTATGTTCTGGAAATGGGAGATGATAACCAAACTACACCCATCCTCTTGGGTAGGCCTTTTCTGAAAACCTCAAAAACAAAAATAGACGTGGCTAATGGTTCATTAACTTTAGAGTTTGATGATCAAAAGGTAGAATTCAACATTTTTGATTCTACGAAAAAACAAATTAAAGACCAATCCCTTTGTGCTCTAAATGTTTTTGAACCACAGACCCCGAATATTTTTGTTGAATAAAAAAATGAGAAAATGAAAC